TGAATTGCTCACAGACAGATTTCATCATCTTGTTGTTTAAGTTTAATGCATTGTCAGAGATAATCCTCTCCGGTAACCCATATCTACAGATGATTTCCTTCTTCAAAAACTTACATACCGTTGACTGGGTAACGCTCGCATAGGAAGCTCCTTCTACCCACTTGGTGAAGTAATCTATTGCTACCAGAATGAAGCGATGGCCATTTGACGCTTTTGGTAAAATTTGTCTAATAACATCCATGCCCCACATAGAAAACGGTCACGTGGCTGTCATCAGATGCAACGGATGATAAGGGGTGTGCATTCTATCCCCATAAACCTGACACTTGTGACACTTTCGGGCATAATTGATGCAATCAGTTTCCATAGTTGACCAATAATACCCAAATCTCATAATCTGTCTGGCCATTACGTGCCCATTAGCATGGGTGCCACATATTCCTTCATGTACTTCTTCAAGAATCATTTTCGCTTCTTTAGTGTCCACACATCTTAATAAGACCTGATCCATGCTTTTCTTATATAAGGTCTCACCATTAAGCACATACCCTGCTGTCATTCTTCTAATGGTCCTTTTGTCATTCTCAGCTGCCTGTTCGGGGTAACTTTGATATCTTATATATTGGAAGATATCATAATACCAAGGTCTTCCCTCATCTTCTTCTTGAATGTTAAAGCAGTGGGCTGGATACTCATAAGCCTTCATCTCAATAGGCATCATATTTGAATGCTCTTTTCATCTTAAAGGCCGCTGCCAAAGTAGCCAAGGCGTCCGCCATTTGATTTTCTTCTCTGGGGAGGTAATTGAAAGTCACTTCTTCAAATTCTTCAATAAGTCCCCGAACTAATTTACGATATTCCACAAGTTTGGGATCTTTAGTTTCCCATTCTCCTCTGAGCTGGTAAATTACCAAAGCTGAATCCCCATATACCCTCAGCATTTTTGCTTTGAGTTCAATAGCTGCTCTAAGACCCATAACACAAGCCTCATATTCAGCCATATTGTTTGTACAATCAAAATTGAGCCGACTGGTAAAAGGATAATGCTCTTCACTTGGTGAGACCAAGATTGCCCTAATCCCATGCCCCAAGGCATTTGAAGCACCATCAAAGTTCATCTTCCAGTATTTATCGGTGAGCGCAATTGTTTCTTCTTCCGAGATAGCCATTAAATCCTCATCTGGAAAATCGAAGTTTAACTATTCATATTCTTCTGAAGCCCTACTCGTAATGAATTCTGCTATGGTGCTCCCTTTAACTGCCTTCTGGCTTACATACTGGATATCAAATTTGGACAACAGGATTTGCCAACGGGCTAACCTTCCAGACAATGCAGGTACCCCCATTAGATACTTTAAAGGGTCTAACTTAGATATGAGCCAGGTAGTATGATACAACATATACTGTCTAAGTCTTCTGGTAGCCCACACTAAAGCGCAACACAAATTTTCAATTGGTGAGTATTTGGCCTCACACTCAGCGAACTTCTTATTGAGATAATAGATAGCCCTCTCCCTCTTCTCAGTTTGATCATGTTGCCCCAACACACATCCCATTGAATTGTCATAAACAGACAAGTAAAGAATTAAAGGCTTTCCTGGGATAGGTGGCGCTAGGGTCAGAGTATTCGAAAGATATCTCTTTACTGCCTCAAAAGCCTCTTGACAATCCTCACTCCATTCTCCTGAATCATTCTTACGAAGAAGGCGGAATATGGGATCATATTTTTCGGTAAGCTGCGAGATAAACCGAGCGATGTAATTTAATCTCCCCAAAAATCCTCGAACCTCTTTCTGTGTTCTTGGGGCTGTCAAATCTTGAATGGCTTTTACTTTATCGGGATCTATTTCAATTCCCTTTCGGCTCACTATGAATCCCAACAGTTTTCCCGATATCACCCCAAAAGTACACTTATTTGGATTAAGTTTTAGTTGGCACTTCTTTAATCTTTGAAAGAGCTTCCTCAAATTCTCGATATGTTCCTCCTCCGTCTTGGCCTTGACAATCATATCATCGACATAGACTTTAATTTCTTTATGCATCATGTCATGAAACAACGTCACCATGGCCCTCTGATAGGTTGCCCCTGCATTCTTTAATCCAAATGGCATGACTTTATAACAGAACGTCCCCCACATAGTGACAAACGTTGTTTTTTCCATATCTTCATGGTACATTTTAATTTGATTATAGCTGGAAAAACCATCCATAAATGAGAATAAGGAATTTCCAGCAGTATTGTCCACTAACGTATCTATATGTGGCAAAGGAAAATTATCCTTTGGACTAGCTCTATTCAGATCTCTATAGTCGACACACATTCGTACTTTCCCATCCTTCTTTGGTACTGGGACAATATTTTTTACCCACTCAGGATATTTGGCCACTGTGAGAAACCCAGCATCAAATTGTTTCTTCACTTCTTCTTTAATCTTGAGCAGCATCTCGGGTCTCATTCTTCTCAATTTCTGTTGTACGAGCTTACAATCAGGCTTTATCGGTAACTTATGGACAACCAATTCGGTATCCAGGCCTGGCATATCTTCGTACGACCAAGCAAATACACCCTCGAATTCTTGAAGTAATTCTATCAAGCTCTGCCTTCCTTCAGCGGACAGGGTGGTACCAATCTTAACTTCTTTTCTATCCTCATCCGTGCCCAGATTCAAGATCTCTGTAAGCTCTTCGTGAGGCAGAATCTGCTCATCTTCCTGTTCTTCCATCTTTAGCAATTCTGAATGTAGTTCACATCCCTCATCGTCATCACAACCTTCGATTTCCCCATGACATATGGGCATCTCGAAATCAATCTCCGGGTCAGGGTCATCAGCATTCGTATCATTAATATCTGAGCTCCTGAAATGATAATGGAAGAGAAGATATATATACATATATGCATACGGGAGAATCCTTTGCCATATGAAAATAGAAAGAAATAATATATACGTATACAACCAAAAATGTTATGCATGAAAAATGTTTGCCATTTGGGAATTAACAAAACACATCTTTTATTGAAAGCAAGTAAAAACACACAACTTAACCCTTTACATCAAATCACCTACTTTCCCAGGGTATGAACAATAGGGAAGAGTTCTAGTGTATTACTCTGTAAAAGATTTGTAAACTACAGGCAGTTCCTCCGCAGTCCAGTTGTTCAACACAAAGCCCGGTGGCGCAGGGTAAATGCCTGTAGCTCTCATTTCTTTGAACTCCTCATCGGTTATGACATTAATGCCCAAGTCCTCCAAGGCATTCTCAACTATCACTTTACTGCTTTCCAAAGTCCCTTGAAACATATATCCTCTCGATACGAAAATGCTGCTCAATGGCGAGAATGTCATGGGCTCCCAGCTTGGGTCCTCACCAGTCAATCTTGCCTTCCTCAATTCCTGAATCTTCTTGATGCTTCTCAGTTTTTCTTTTAAAGTCGGCTGATACCTTAAACCGAACCTGTCTCTTTTAGTTACAGGGTAGATTGGGCCCACCAGTCCTTACAACCGACGTCTAAACCCTTTGCCAGTTTTTGCTCCTCTTCCAAGAGTCAACTTAAGCCCCATTTTGGTGCAGTTTGACAATCTAGGCTTCGGGATCTTCTTTCCTTCTGCCACAAACGTGGCATTGACATATTCCAACGATCTGAAAGAACATTCAACAGCTTGTTCTTCCACTTCAACGTATGGAACAGTAGTAGAAACCGAAGCAATAATGTCTTCTTCAACATGAATGCATATAAGCCTCCCATCAATTGCAAATTTTATCCTTTGGTGCAACGTTGACGGAACCGCACCGGCCTGATGAATCCAGGGCCTTCCCAATAAACAGTTGTATGTAGGCATGATGTCCATCACAAGAAACTCCACTTCGTATATCGCCGGGCCAATAGTCAAAGGGATATCAATCTTGCCTAGAACTTCTCTCTTCGTTCCATCAAAAGCTCGAACCACACTTTGACAGCTTCTCATCAGGGTACTGTCCACTGGCAGTTTTTTCAGGGTCACCAAGGGCATCACATTTAACGTTGAACCGTTATCTATCAGTACTCTGGATAAAACATGCCCTTTGCACCTAACTGTGATGTGTAGAGCCTTATGATTGCCAATCATCCCAGAAGGGATCTCGTCCTCAGAAAAAGATAAAAAATTATCGGCCTGGATGTTGGCAACTAGTCGGTCCAGCTTTTCTGTGGGTATCTCCTTCGGGACAAAGGTTTGGTTTAAAACTTTTAACAGGGCGTTGCAATGAGCCTCTGAACTCAGAAGAAGTGATAGGACAGAAATACGGGCAGGCAGCTTGTGCAGTTGCTCAACAATATTGTATTCACTATGTTTCAAAAATTTTAAAAATTCCATCGCTTCATTCTCCGTTACTGGCTCATTGACGATGGGTTCATCTTCTTTTATCTTTACATCGATACTTTTTCCTTTCTCGACATCAATCTTCTTCTCAGGTTCTTTGTGATAACATCTACCACTCCTGGTCATGTGTCCCACTTCATCTACCTCTTCCTGTTGCTTTGCCACCTCTCCTATTTGACAAGCATATCTCCAGGGTACCTGTTTATTGTCTTTGTACTGGAACGGAGAGGGAGGTGTAATAATCACCTTTGGAGCTACCTTCTCAGCCACTCGATTCTTAGGAGTAATGACGAGGGGACAACTAGCACTATAGACCCCTTTGGATGATCCCTCAGATGCGTAAACTTCCGCTTCTTCTTTCTCAGCCACTTCTTTGAAGAACTCGATTTCCTTACTATCCATCATCTCTTGTACCAGCCCTAAGAAATCAGAACATTGTTGTATACTGTGTCTTGTGCAGTTATGGTAGTGGCACATCTCTTCATTGTTGAACTGTTCACATGGCATATTAGTCTTTAATAGTCCTACCTTGACCATTTGGCACCACACCCAAGATATGGGTGACATCACCTCACTAACATTTTTTACAGTCATTCTTCCTTTCTCTTCAGCGACTGCATTAATCCCAGTTCCTACATGGTTTGGCAATGGATTCTGGGCTATGTTTGGTTGTTCACTGTCACCAAAATTGATGACGTTTCTTCTTCTCAGAGCTTGGATGACCTTTTTGAAAGCGGGACAATTTTCAATAGAATGTCCGGAAACCCCTGCATGGTATTCGCACTTAGCACTAGCATCATACCATTTGGGATACGGGGGTTGTATAGGGTCCACATGATAAGGTGAGACTACATGTCGATCATATAATTCGTGGAATAACTCCTTATAAGTCATAGGAATCAGATCAAATTGAGGCCTCTCTCTCCTTGGATCCCTTGCCCCTTGTCTATTGTTAATTTGGGGTGATGCTACCGTTCCCTGAGGTCGGGACACTGTGATATTATGGGAATCATACTGCCTTACGTTGCTGACTTCGTTTTCCTTCTTCCTCATCGGCTGTTTCTTGCTGGAATCTCCTCCCTCAAGCTTCCCGCTTTTAATCGCCATTTCAATCATTTCTCCCGCCGTAACTATATCAGTAAAACTTCGAGAAGGATTACCAACAAAATGTGAGAAAAATGGAGCCTTCAAGGTATTAACAAAAAGTAGGTTCGTTTCCTCCTCTACCAACGGTGGGTGGACTTGTACTGCTACCTCTCTCCACCTCTGAGCATATTGTCTGAAACTTTCATTATGCTTCTTCTCCATTGCTTGCAGCACCATTCTATTAGGCCTGACGTCCTTCATATGCTTATACTGGTCAATAAAAGATTTGGCCAGGTCTTTCCATGTCCTGACATCAACTCTCCTTAGTTGATTATACCATCGCAATGCTGAGCCCGCCAAGCTTTCCTGGAAACAGTGGATCAATAGCTGGTCGTCCTCTATGTACCCGGTCATTTTCCTGTAAAACATTGTGATATGGGCAGAAGGGCATTGGATACCGTCATACTTCTCGAAGTCAGGAGTCTTGAATTTGGGAGGCAAGATCAAATCAGGGACTAAACTTAGTTCCTTCGCATCGAGTCCGTATAAGCTGGTGTCTTCTTTCATAGCTTGGACTTCACTTGCTAGCTGCTTATACTGCTCCTGCAACAACTTGTTTTCCTTCTTCTTTGCTTCCTCATCAAGGTCTGGGACCTGGTGATATGGGCTTTCTTTGGGGTGCAAACAAGATCCAGGTTGTGGATTAACAGCAATGCCGTCAGAATTTATGTGTACTTTGGTATGGACAGATGTTCCTTGGGTATTCGGAGACTGTGCTGGGGTAAATCCTGGAGGGTAAAGTGGTTCTTCACTTGTTTGCTCATGGGCCTTTCCGTGCTCCGGATTTCTCCCTCCCAGCATACTTGCCAACTTAGATAGCATATCCTCTTGAGCCTTAAGCATATCTTCTTGCATTTTCCTCAGATCATCTTGCAACTGCAATTGAGTTCTTTCTATTTGAGCAATCTTATCATCCATGGCTTTCCTTGTGTTATAGTGATGCTTGGAATTTCCCAGTATTATGTAATGTATCCCTTATTGTTAATTTTAATGCTTTGAGGATGAATGTAAATTATGTAAAGTGCGAAAAAATGCAACACAAGACTTAAATTAATAATAAAATGCAAATGCATGTAGAAAGGCATTGATTCATAAGACGTGATCAGTCTTAGAACAACTTTCATTTAGGACAAAAGCATCATCTTTAGAAGAAAAGTCCATTACAGAAAAGGCCTAGCTCTAATGTTCAGCTCCATTATCTGATTAACAAGCCAATCGACCCTCTTTCCTATATCTGATGCTGGATTTGTGTAGCTCTGGATGACTTTTGCCTGGAGATCCATCTCTCCCAGCTGCCTCGCAACGCCGCTTAACTGATTCATGGTTTCACGGATCACATGATTGACTTTTATCTTCCAGTCTCTAAAGTTATCGTTTGAGTTTTGCCATTGCAGCCTAGTGCCTTGGACGGTGCGCTCAAGACCAGCGATTTATGTCTGGCAACTCCGTAAGGTAGCCTCTAAATCATGAATCTTCTTTTGCAAAGCAGCGCTCTCCTCGAGGCCAACCCTTTGATCCGTTGGGCAACGCTGACTGCTTTCTACAAATAAGGAACTTTCAAGCTGCATAACGTAGGCACTGTACTCTTCATTCTTTGCCTTGGCTCGAGTTAACTCTTCCTCATGCCTTGATTCCATTTCATGCATCTCTTGATTGAGTACCTCTATCCGCTCGTTCTTTGCTCCGCACCTTTGTATCCAGAGGAATACTTCATCCTGTTTGCCTTGGAGCACACTCTCCCGATGTTGCCTTTCTAATTTTAGCTCCTCTTTGCTTTGCCTCTTATCAGTTTCGAGCTCGTCGATCTTTTGCTTTCTAATCTCAAGTTCAAGTTTCATGCTATTTGCCTTCATTCTGAGTTCTTCAATATTAGCATGCAACTCTTCTTCTCGCTTCTTGCTCAAGGTGTACCTTTGTCTTAACTCTTTAGCCTCTGTCCTTTCGCTCTTCAGTGCCCTAACCCAGGTCCTTCTCTCGGACTCAAGTTCTTGATTTCTTTTCTTCTTCTCTGTCTCTACTTCTCTGTCTCTACTTCTCTGACTTGGTGCTCTCTCTCGGCTCTGACGTCTCTAACTTGACGATCCCTCTCAGCCCAGAGCTCTAACCGCCACTGCTCTGAAGTTCTCCCGAGGCCAGTAATTCCCCGTGCTCGACTCATCTTTTGGTAATCTCTCTGTAAACTAGTGAGATTGGCCTCCACTTCATTCTTTCTCTTGCGCATAAGCTCAAACTGTGTATTATAGAACCCCCTATCGATGTCCAACATGAAATTCTTTTGTCTAAGGGCCTCACACTCTGCTTCCTTCCTGGCGATTTCCTCTTCAAATTCACTCTTTAGTATCTCCAACTTAGACGGTGCGTATTTAAACTGTGCTTCCAAAGGAATTGTTTGGTCACGATCCGCCAAAGGAAGGATATCATTCTTTCGCGCCGCCCTCTATGCCACGTAATCTGGCGTCAGCATGACCTCAGCTGCTATGAAATCAGTTCTAAAGGTTGACTTCCACGCCTCTGACATTGCACGAGCAGTCTTCTTGTAGTGATCTCCACAGTACACAAATTCAGATGCCTTCAGACCGGATGTAGCTGGGACGAATTGTGTGCCCCAAATTGCCTTACTACCATCAGCGGCGTATAGCCTACTCCACCCCATAACCCTAATAGGGTTACCCAATCGGAATCCCCGCATTTGTACAACACATCCACAAAAGCTAACCAGGGGACATGCCACACTATATCATGCTCCTGTAAATTTCTGAAGAGTGAAACCCAATCCTTCCTGGTGAGATGCTCTGGCCACTCTTTAGTGAGGAAATCTTTTAAGGGTGAATAGGCCGTAGAAAACCGTCGACTATACTCTCGGTCAATTTTCCAGAAGTGACTGCGTATCCAAACAGTAAGCAACTGGACACACCCGGTGAAGCGGCTACTCTCAGCTCTTCTACAACTACTAAGTGCTCTGAATGTCTCGGCCAAAACCGCAGGAATAGGGTTTACCTTCCTTTCCAAACGCTCGAATAAATCGACCACTGCGGCTTCCGCGTGATAAAGAACTTTCGGGAAAATCATTAAACCATAAATTCCCAAGGCGAACATCTCCATGCTCTTCTCGATATCGCTATGCTTGACGATAAGCTCCTTGAGGCATGACCAAGGGAAGCAATCGGACTCTCCCTTCTTTTGGATTCGATCAGCAACCCACTTCTCTCCCATCCCAGTAATCCTTGCGAGCTTGCTCTTAAAGGATTGTGTCCTTGAGGCTTTTGAGTAGATTCGGTCCAAGTGTACCGTCTCGAAATGAAACAAGGAGGTGTATTCTTATAACGTGGGAGTCATGTCTTCCTTGTTGAAAGTGAAGCAGCTATATGCGGGATTCTAAAACTGGATGAGAGCTTTGATTAGGGGTTCGTTTACTTTCACGTACAACAGAAGGGCGATGTCACCATACTTTTGCCAAAAAGAGTACTTCACATCAGAATTCCAACTTTCCCAAATTTCGTGTAACTCTTGCAAATCGTTTTGCTTTAGACTGACCGGAGCAACCTCTGGTAGTACTGATATGTAATCTTCAGTCAAACTGTCGCCTTTCTTCCTCTGAGTTTCTTCGGACCATGACCTCACTTTCGCGTTATCCACCTCCTTGTTATGAAAGCTCTTGTCCATTTTATGACCGCCTTCTACTTTTATGACCACCTCGTGAACCAACGCCTTCCTTCATGAATGATGATGCAATGCAGCAATAATAAATAAAACATAAAACACAAACAAAAATAAAATTGTGTTAGTATATACAATGAATAGTCGAAGAATAAATAAACAACATGAAGATAGAAAATATATACATCCTAAACCTTATTCACATGGTATCTACCCAACATGGCATCTACCGAATCATGCTTTAGTAGATCCTACCCAACATGATATCTACCCACATGCTTTGTTACTCATAAAAAATCCTAACCGCATGGTATCTAATTCACATGCCTGTTCGAAAAATAAACCTAACCACATGATCTCTAGTTCGCATACTTTTTACAAAAATAAATAAATTCGAGGGAAAGGTTAGAATGAGTTTCCCCTTTGTGTCTGCGGACAGAGATTCAGCATAAGACGAGAAGGGTTTTGGTATCACTAAAAGGGTCATCGAATTGTCCTTTGCTGGTGCCCCCTTAAGCTTGCCAGACCCTCGATCCTCACCCATTATAGGCTTAAAACGGATCAAGTTCAATTTCGAGAGGATACATTTCCCTATGTCCATGCGAGGAAACTCAATGTTTCACTCATAAACATAAGGCATGTACCCCAGAGGTTACTAGCTAAAGCCCATGCGGAGAAAAGTAATTTTTCTCACGTAAGCGTAGCTTTCACCCCTACCTAACGGGACAGAGCACAGTTAGAAGGCTCTAAATATTAAAGGTTTACAACAACAGTGGGGAAACTCATAATCCTTTGCCTCGATCCAAGAGAAACAATAGACTAAAGTGAAAGTCAGAAAACTGAAACATGTA